TGTATGTCAGTATTGTGAGAGTTGAGTGTGGTGCTCTGACTGGTGTGCGCTTTGAGTAATCAGTAGTGTCCACTCTCTCCCCCCAGCCTGTGGCTGTCTCTTCCTGATGAGATATGGGTGTCCATATTGTCACTCCTGCCACACCGAGATCTGTCTACAATGGTCCAGGTCTGCCTCCACCTGCTCCGACTGGTCAATAACCACACACTCTGTAAGTCTCTGAGGAAGTGTGTGTATGTGTGTGTGTGTGTGTGCGTGCATGCATGTGTGTGTCTTCCTCTGTCCTCAGCCACATGGTGTGTTCTCATGTAAACTATATTTTGTCTCCAATGTTTAAAGTTGCACAGTGAGCACTTATTGTCTCTCAAATACATTGTTACTGTTGTTGGTTAGCTAGCTAGCAAATTTTTTGCCATATTAGCATAGACTTGACATCAGTCAACACACCTCAAAACAAAACATGGTATCAAGAACAAGATCAAACGAGCTGAAACGAGCCACTTACGGTTCACCACATGGCAGTTTCTTGTAATTGTTGCTAGCTATCTGGCCATCCAGAACCATAACAACAAACAGCCTTCTGCCCATTTGAAGTGCACGCATTGTTTTCGTGACGTTGTCAGCTAACCCGTCTACAGGAGGAAGGCTCATTATAATGGCTGGAACGGAATAAATGGAACGATATCAAACACATCAAACATATGGAAACCACGTTTGACTTAGTTCCATTTATTCCATTCCAGCCATTACAATGAGCCCATCCTCCTATTGCTCCTCCCACCAGCCTCCTCTGGCGCACACACACACACACACACACACACACACACACACACTACAGTATACCCATGAGCTGAAATGAAAATGAAAAATCCTAAATCCCTTAATTCTTTCAAACTGTATTTCTCTTTAGGGCAAGTTGTCAGTGTGAAGAACAGCTCATCTCTAACTGACCAATTGCCCAGCATTGTGGGCAGGCGTCATCCTCCAACCAAGCCTGACTATCTACAGGTGTAGTGGACTGTCAATCACCTCAGGCGGGCTAGAGTAGTTTTTCAAAGTCAAGCCTCTCTGGAGGTGGAGTTAACCTGTCATCAACTATACCAACTTAGTGCAGTCAAGATCAGTTACAGAAAGAGATCTATACATGTAAATATAATAATGTGAAGGAAACAAAAACAGTAAATTTACTCAAATGCACTTCAGATTCTCAAGCCAGGCTTGTTCTACCAACTATTATGCATTTAGATTTAGACTATGGCATGTTAAATGGTGTGTTGTTATCATTGTGAGACCTGAGTGTGACAAGCTGCAGTGAGCCTGGTCTCCATGGTGACATGGTGCTGATTCTGAGTGGTCAGCACTGTGATCACATGACCTATGTGGACGTCAGCTGGAGTGGAGTGACTGACACATGCATTAAAGCACTAACTGACACCCGTACTTGGTAGGGAAGGCCATAGTGTGCCATTCACATAAAAGGATCACTACTAAAAAATGATCTTCTGGATTTCATCACAGAAAGTGTGATGATGATGATGATGATGATGATGTGTTTTGAACTATCCCTTTAACACACACATGTACGCACACACACACACACACACATTTTATGTGTTTCTGAATCTTTATTCATGATCACATGGTTAATGTGAAAATAATCACAGTTGGTATTACATTATGTTATATGTGTTTTAATTGGACTTTAAGATAACATGAAATAACATGGCTTATCTATTTATGTATGCTCCCTCTAATTCTCTCTCTCTCCCTCTCTCCCTCCCATCTCGGAGGACCTGAGCCCTAGGACCATGCCTCAGGACTACCTGGCCTGATGACTCCTTGCTGTCCCCAGTCCACCTGGTTGTGCTGCTGCTCCAATTTCCACTCTTCTGCCTGCGGCTATGGAACCCTGACCTGTTCTGCCAAGTTACAGATGAATCCTTGAATCCCTCATCATAAGACATAGAGGTGAGTTACAAAAACAGTAGTAAGAAGGGCTTTTGTACTTTGATGTGTTTGATTGTGTTTTATTTTGCGTGTGTATTTGAGTGTGTGTATGTATGTGTTTTTTGTAATGTGAGTGTCAGTCTTTTCTAATGTGTGTGTGTGTGTAACAGTCTGCGCAGGTTGAAGGGGTTTGGCTACCTGTCTATCAGTTCCTCCAGGGTCCTGGTGTGTCCTGGACTGGAGGCTCTGAACATCGGCAAGGTCCCTGAGGTCAATCCCGTCTGACCCTGGTGACTTCACGGTCATACACCTCCATTCCCTTAACCTGACTGGACTGCACACAGTAGGTGTATGTGTGTGTGTGCGTGCGTGCGTGCGTGCGTCTGTCTGTCTGTGTCTGTGCATTTGGTGCTTCGACATCATTAATATTCATCTGACATGTGCTGTACAGGTAAGTGATCAGACAGTTCACAAGGTCTTCCTGCAGTGCTCTGACCTCCAGAGTCTGACCTTCAGCTCCTGCCTGGGAATCACTGACATGAGCCTGCACAAGATCAGCACCCAAGCCCCCACATCAGGTACACTATATACACACACACAGTCAGTCAGTCAGTCACTTTCTCTCTCACTCTTGTTTCCCAGATAAATAAATAAATAACATTTCAATATATTTAACGTCACATAAATGTATTTGAAATGCATGTAGATAAATTCAAGCATCTTTGCTCAAACGCATGTAATGCCTGACAATATTCTAGAAATGCATGGCTATGTCATCTAGTCTACATTCTCAGAAATAAAGGCTTAGATTTGTTCCTAATGGGCTACAGCCGCTTCACTGGGATGGTACCCTGTAAGATCCTCCTTTGTACTTTTAGTTACAGGTACTGTACATAATTGTACCCCAGATAGTATGTTTCTCCACAGTTACAAAAGCATGTTTTTTACCTTTAAATAGTACCACCACATTGACAAAGACATTTGTTCATTATAAGCGGCAAGAATGTACCTCTACCATAGACCACTTAAACTGGTACAACACATCCACTCATGACTGGCCAAAAATAACTATCTAACTAAAAGCCATGCCCCTAAGAAGCCATGCCTCCAGTATAATTTTCCAGTGTACCTTGCCTTTTTTAGTGAATTGTAGAGTTACCACCTATGACTATATTTGTTAGTGGAAGATAATGTACATGGTTGTTGAATTCGTTAATTTTCAGTCCTGTGGCCTTCACCAAGTGAGTTTCTAGCTTACATTATCGTTATCATTCAAATGATACTCTTTCTGACGTTACGTATCTCATAAGGCCTTATTTTGAGACCTAGTTTTACCCTAATACATTGGCCTGAAACAGGCCACATTAGGCTTGCAAAATTCCGGTAACTTCACCAAAATTCCAGAATTTCAAAAAATCCTGGTTGATGGCCAATTTCGTTGCAGATTTGGATGAGGGCCTCTAGCGGGTCGTTTGTGTTGTTGGGTGGTTCTTGGCTATTCACAGGTCTTGGCGTGCCTCCCCACTGACTGCATGGTGGCCCCCTGTACTGACTGGGTGATGGAATGGGGGATGCTGGGAGGGGTGAAGGCGGTTCGGAGGGTCCGGGGGGGTCTGGACTGAGGCTGACTGGTTTGCTGCTGTGCGGGAACAGGGGCAGGAAGGGCTATGGGGAGTGGATCTGGATCGATCTGGAGCAGGTATTATACTGTTGAGTAATACAGTAAGTTACTGATAAAGTTACAAAAATGGCTAACAGTGTAGAGGAAACCCTACCTAGTAAGCAAAATATTATTGAAAATACATCTAATATATGTATTTTCCTGATGTTAAAGTTAGGTTCATTTTAGGTTCTGAATGAATGGTGAAAATACATATTTTCTGGACGTTGAAAATATGTAATTTGCAGACACTGAACATACTTTGGTAATAATTTACATTAAGGTCCCTCTAAATAGTTATTTACTCATTTATAAACACTATTTAAAATTGTTTATTAATTATTTAAAATATCATTATTAAGGTGTTTGATCATAGTATGTTCACAATTTGTAAATTATTAATAATGTACTACTAATGTACTTATAAACCAGTTATAAAGGAGTTATTGTCAACTCATAAGATTATTTATAGGGCATTTATTAATGGTTGATTAATGGTTTGACCAATTATATACATATTTATGGAAAGAGATGGAAGGAGTCGCTGTACACACAATACCCCAGAAATGACAAAGCAAAAACTGGTTTTTAGAAAATTTTGCAAATGTATATATAAAATAAACACTTTAATATCACATTTAGATAAGTATTCAGACCCTTTACTCAGTACTTTGCTGAAGCGCCTTTGGCAGCGATTACAGCCTCAAGTCTTCTTGGGTAAAAAAAAACTAAAAAACATTTGATATATTGTAAAGTGGTTATCCCACTGGCTATCATAAGGTGAATGCACCAATTTGTAAGTCACTCTGGATAAGAGCGTCTGCTAAATGACGAAAATGTAACTGAGCTACAGGGGACCTGGTACAATTTTTTCTGCCTCTGTCTTCTTATTGTCTCAGCCTTTAGGCATATATATCACGGTCGTAAGGCATATTAATTAACAGGTTATAGAGAAAACAACTCAATTATCACAACACATAGGTTGTAATATGGCTTCTTTGCTGGCTTCCCCAGTGATTTTACCGATGCGCTGCTACTGGTGTCAAGGTGATGTGATAGTCAGGCAAGCTTTATCCAAATGATCATCTATTTATTTACTCAAAGTATCATACACATTTTTCACATGCTGCTTGTTACTGAAAGTTTCCCATATTCTCTGGCAGCCAGTTAGACCGAAGGGGGTATTGGTCTTCAAGACAATCTCTATGGAAACGGCGGCTTTTTAACAGCGTTTAGATGTGTTTAGTTTATTCAATGGATTACAGGTAATTCTGTAACTGGTTGGCCTGACGCCCGGCCCTTGTTTGTTTTGTGCCTGTTCCTCTGGAAGTCGAGAGGCCGACACAAGAGAGTGCTGAAGTAGGAAAGGCCACCTCTCTTCACAGGTCCATCTGGCAAGAGACCGGAAAGAAGACTTGACAAACGACACATTAATACTGTTAGCCAAAGCGGTCGAAGTCGTCCAGGAGAAAATGAATAACAACTTAATTTTTTGTTGACCTTTTTTGTACCTCGACAAGGTGTTTGACAGTGTAGAAAGACTTGGATAAAACGTCAAACTTGAAAGAAGTTCGGAAGATCGTGGTGAAAGGAATTTAATTGGACGAAAACTTTAGGTTATAGTTGGCCATAGTGGTCTTTCCCCGGGTGGTTTCGGTGGTTGTCTGGTGGGGCTTTCCACTCCAGACTAAACCATGTCGTTACCAGCCATGGGTACCGACCGGGAGAGTCTCTGCTCGATCTTTCACGCTTGTGATGTGGATAATTCTGGACGGATTGAAAAAGACGACTTTGTCCAAATCTGCTCAGAGCTCCTTGTCCCGCCGACGGAGAGAGAGCACATATTCTCTAAACTGGACACCGACAGAGACGGGACAATCAATCTAGCGGAGTTCATTAGCGGCTTCCACCGGATCTCTGAGCAAGTGTACTGCGGGGACATGGAGCACAAGACCTGGGGAGTCTCCTCTCAGGCCTGGGAAGATTTCCAGACCCGACTAGGGGACCATGCCCAGTTCATACCCAGGTCAAGTATGGATCATATTACAAAACAATTAATTAATAATACACTTTTGATTTACATATTGTCCAAACGTCATATAGGAATGCAAGCATAAAACAGTTTCAATGTACATTTTCAGTGTAACCAATAGGCTACAGGTTATCTCCTTATAATAGATTAATAATATATACCGTTGAAGTCGGAAGTTTACATACACTTAGGTTGGAGTCATTAAAACTCGTTTTTCAACAACTCCACAAATGTCTTGTTAACAAACTATAGTTTTGGCAAGTCGGTTCTGACATCTACTTTGTGCATGACACAAGTAATTTTTCCAACAATTGTTTACAGACAGGTGATTTCACTTATATTTCACTGTATCACAATTCCAGTGGGTCAGAAGTTTACATACACTAAGTTGACTGTGCCTTTAAACAGCTTGGAAAATTCCAGAAAATAATGTCATGGCTTTAGAAGCTTCTGATAGGCTAATTGACATCATTTGAGTCAATTGGAGGTGTACCTGTGGATGTATTTCAAGGCCTACCTTCAAACTCAGTGCCTCTTTGCTTGACATCATGGGAAAATCAAAGGAAATCAGCCAAGACCTCTGAAAAACAATTGTAGACCTCCACAAGTCTGGTTGATCCTTGGGAGCAATTTCCAAACGCCTGAAGGTACCATGTTTATCTGTACAAACAATAGTACGCAAGTATAAACACCATGGGACCACGAAGCCGTCATACCGCTCAGGAAGGAGACGCGTTCTGTCTCCTAGAGATTAACGTACTTTGGTGCGAAAAGTGCAAATCAATCCCAGAACAACAGCAAAGGACCTTGTGAAGATGCTGGAGGAAACAGGTACAAAAGTATCTATATCCACAGTAAAACAAGTCCTATATCGACATAACCTGAAAGGCCACTCAGCAAGGAAGAAGCCACTTCTCCAAAACCACCATAAAAAAGCCAGACTACGGTTTGCAACTGCACATGGGAACAAAGATCGTACTTTTTGGAGAAATGGTCTCTGGTCTGATGAAACAGAAATAGAACTGTTTGGCCATAATAACCATCGTTATGTTTGGAGGAAAAAGGGGGGCGCTTGCAAGCCGAAGAACACCATCCCAACCGTGAAGCACGGGGGTGGCAGCATCATGCTGTGGGGGTGCTTTGCTGCAGGAGGGACTGGTGCACTTCACAAAATAGATGGCATCATGAGGAAGAAAAATTAAGTGAATATATTGAAGCAACATCTCAAGACATCAGTCAGGAAGTTAAAGCTTGGTCGCAAATGGGTCTTCCAAATGGACAATGACCCCAAGCATACTTCCAAAGTTGTGGCAAAATGGCTTAAGGACAACAAAGTCAAGGTATTGGAGTGGCCATCACAAAGCCCGGACCTCAATCCTATAGAACATTTGTGGGCAGAACTGAAAAAGCGTGTGCAAGCAAGGAGGCCTACAAACCTGACTCAGTTACACAAGCTCTGTCAGGAGGAATGGGCCAAAATTCACCCAACTTATTGTGGGAAGCTTGTGGAAGGCTACCTGAAACGTTTGACCCAAGTTAAACAATTTAAAGGCAATGCTACAAAAATACTAATTGAGTATATGTAAACTTCTGACCCACTGGGAATGTGATGAAATAAATACAAGCTGAAATCAATTATTCTCTCTACTATTATTCTGACATTTCACATTCTTAAAATAAAGTGGTAATCCTAACTGACCTAAGACAGGGAATTTTTACTAGGATTAAATGTCAGGAATTGTGAAAAACTGAGTTAAATGTATTTAGCTAAGGTGTATGTAAACTTCCGACTTCAACTGTATATACCAAATATTTGTGTACTATTGTTGTGTTTTAATTAAATCTGTTGGGCTATTCCAGTGTCAAAACTTCTCCCACTTGTATTAGCCAGATGTGGTTCACACCTCTATGTGTGTGCACGTGCATTCGTGCACACACATTACTCAGGCCAGTCTAGGTTTTGGATGAAATATATCAAATATCTCTAAGCGCACCAATAGAAATCCTTGCAGCAACCTAACCCCGAAAGAATGAGCAAGAGAAAGAGACAAAGGAAAGAAGGAAGGGAAGGTATCAGTATCCTATGACAGGTTTTGAAATTACGTCCCATTGAGCAGTCAGAGAGAAAGCCCTCCTAGGGCTGGCATGGGACTGAGCCGCGCCCTGACATGCTACCATGGAGGGGACATTGATTAACACCGTGATTCCATGTGCCCCATCATATCTTAAATAGACCTCATTATGACTGTTTGATCACCAGCTTCACCAGCTGTAGAAAGTCACCCATTGGAACTAACATCTTAGCCGGTTTCTTTGAAAAAGGACCCCTCCTGGGGCACTCCATTAGTGATGGAGACAGAGGGTTTTCCATTGCTGTGGATCAAATGTTCTCATTATTGTGTGATACAACAGTCATGCCTGTACTCAGTAGGCCTACATCCACCCAGGCCTCAGATCCAGAGACCAAGGTCACCATACTATTGTATGCCCATAGAAGAGCCATGGGTGGAGTAGAGCAGGGATCAGTAATGGTACCACTCCTAAGTAGTTCTAGTTTAAGAATATATTCTAAGCATGTAACTAGATGTGTTATTAAACAACAGAGGAGTGAGGTTAGCTAAAGCAGAAACTCGGGCAACCAGGCTAGGGTAGAGCTGGATTCCTAGGGATATAGCCAATACTCTACAGTCATGGACAAACAACCACCTTTTAAAATCCTCTCACTGTAAAATATGATGTTTATTGGGATTTTATTGGTTTTTGATAGTGTCAGATGTGAATTAAGGGAGATATAGAAGTGAGAAGGCCGGTGGGGCTGGGGTTCGATCCCACGCAAGCTAACCCAACCAGGCATTTCAGACACTTTTTGATTACTATCATTACTATCATAATGTTTTTAGTACTAACAAAATTATTTTTTGCATTTCTTAACTTGAAACATTGCATTGAAGAAGGTGTTCCCTCTGTAAGCCCTGGATTTTAAGACCCGTGGTGTGTACCAGTGACACTGCCTATCTTGGCAGTGCTGTTGATTGTAGGACACTGAGTATATATGCTCAGGGATTATAATCTGGTCACCTTGTCGAAGGCAAACACATACACACACATACACACACACACACTTTAGAGACCTCTACCCATCTGACGCAGTTTAATGAGCCATGAATGAGTTACTTTCTTAATTAGGCAAAAAAAACACAAAAAAAACTACAACATTTACATGTAAATGTAAGTACCTGAATAGATATCAGGTAAATACTGTAGCCTACATACAGTGGGGAGAACAAGTATTTGATACACTGCCGATTTTGCAGGTTTTCCTACTTACAAAGCATGTAGAGGTCTGTAATTTTTATCATAGGTACACTTCAACTGTGAGAGTTGAAGTGTACCTATGAAAAAATCCAGAAAATCACATTGTATGATTTTTAAGTAATTCATTTGCATTTTATTGCATGACATAAGTATTTGATCACCTACCAACCAGTAAGAATTCCGGCTCTCACAGACCTTTTAGTTTTTCTTTAAGAAGCCCTCCTGTTCTCCACTCATTACCTGTATTAACTGCACCTGTTTGAACTTGTTACCTGTATAAAAGACACCTGTCCACACACTCAATCAAACAGACTCCAACCTCTCCACAATGGCCAAGACCAGAGACCTGTGTAAGGACATCAGGGATAAAATTGTAGACCTGCACAAGGCTGGGATGGGCTACAGGACAATAGGCAAGCAGCTTGGTGAGAAGGCAACAACTGTTGGCGCAATTATAAGAAAATGGAAGAAGTTGAAGATGACGGTCAATCACCCTCGGTCTGGGGCTCCATGCAATATCTCAACTCGTGACCATCAAACAGGAAAAGCGTCAATAGAGGACTAAGATCGAATCCTACTACGCTGGTTCTGATGCTCGATGGATGTGGCAGGGCTTGCAAACTATCACAGATTACTAAGGGAAACCCAGCCGCGATCTGCCTAGCGACGCTAGCCTACCAGACGAGCTAAATGCCTTCTATGCTCACTTCAAGGCTCGCTTAATAATAATATAATAATATGCCATTTAGTAGAGGCTTTTATCCAAAGCGACTTACAGTCATGCGTGCATACATTTTTTTATGTATGGGTGGTCCCGGGGATCGAACCCACTACCCAGGCGTTACAAGCGCCATGCTCTACCAATTGAGCTACAGAGGACCACAAGGCAAGCAACCCTGAACCGTGCATGAGCGCACCAGCTGTTCGGGACGACTATGTGATCTCACTCTCCATTGCCGATGTGAACAAATTCTTTAAACAGGTTAACATTCGCAAAGCTGCGGGGCCAAATGGAATACCAGGACTCGTACTGAGAGCATGCGCTGACCAACTGGCAAGTGTCTTCACTGACATTTTCAACCTATCCCTGACCCGGTCTGTAAAACCAACTTGTTTCAAGCAGACCAACATAGTCCCTGTGCCCTAGAACACCTGCCTAAATCACTATCGTCCAGTAGCACTCACATCTATAGGCATGAAATGCTTGGAAAGGCTGGTCATGGCTCACATCAACACCATCATTCCAGACACCCTGGACCCGCTCCAATTCGCATACGCCCCAACAGATCCACAGATGACGCAATCTCTATTGCACTCCACATTGCCCGCACCCACCTGGACAAAAGGAATACCTATTTAAGAATGCTGTTCATTGACTACAGCTCAGCATTCAACACCATAGTCCCCTCCAAGCTCATCACCAAGCTCAGGACTCTTGGACTGAACACCTCCCTCTGCAACTGGATCCTGGACTTCCTGACAGGCCTCCCCAGGCAGTGAGGGTAGGCAACAACACATCTGCCACACTGACCATCAACACATGGGCCCCTCAAGGGTGTGTGCTTAGTCCTATCCTGCTGTACTCCCTGTTCATCCACAACTTCCTGGCCGCGCACGACTCCAACACCATCATCAAGTTTTGCTGACGACACGACGGTGGAAGGACTGACCAACGACAACAAAGAGGCTATAGGGAGGAGGTCAGAGACCTGGCAGTGTGGTGCCAGGACAACAACCTCTTCCTCAACATCAGCAAGACAAAGGAGCTGATCGTGGACTACAGGAAACGGAGGGCCAGCACATTCACATCGATGGGGCTATAGTGCAGCGGGTCGAGAGCTTCAAGTTCATCTGTGACCACATCACTAAGGAATTAACGTGGTCCACACCCACACAGTTGTGAAGAGGGCACGACAGCACCTCTTCCCCCTCAGAAGGCTGAAAAGATTTGGCATGGACTCTCAGATCCTCCAAAAGTTCTACAGCTGCACCATTGAGAGCATCTTGACTGGCTGCATCACCGCTTGGTACAGCAAATGCAAGGCATCCAACCGCAAGGCACTAGAGAGGGTGGTGAGTACGGCCCAGTACATCACTGAGGCCGAGGTCCCTGCCATCCAGGACCTCTATACCAGGCAGTGTCAGGGGAAAGCTCAAATAATTGTCAAAGATTCCAGCCACCCAAGCCATAGACTGTTCTCTCTGCAACCACATGGCAAGCGGTACCAGTGCACCAAGTCTGGAACCAACAGGACCCTGAACAGCTTCTACCCCCAAGCCATAAGACAGATAAACATGGCTGCTAAATAGCTCATCAATTTAGCTACCCGGACTACCTGCATTGACCCTTTTTTGCACTGACTCTATGCACACACTTGATTCTACCCACACACTCACACATACTTACACTGACACCCCAACAAACACATACACTCACACACACTACATATGCCCACACACACATAGTATGCGCACACATGCATACTGACGCCACACACATACTTTCACACTCACCACATATGCTGCTGCTACTGTCTATTATTTATCCTGATGCCTAGTCACTTTACCCCTACCTACAGTATATGTACATAGCTACCTCAATTACCTTGTACACCTGCACATCGACTCGGTACTTGTACTCCCTGTATACATGTTCTTTTGACTCATTATTGTTATTCGTTATTCACTGTATTTATTCCTTGTGTCACTATTTCTATTTTTTATTTAAAAAAAATATCTACTACCTCCATTCACAATTTTTTTGAAGGGTCTCGTTTTTAAAACACTCTTGCACTGACTCAATGCACACACAGTGGTCTCTACCCACACACACATACTTACACTGACACCCCAACACACACACACACACACACTACATACGCCCACACACACATAACATGCGCACATATGCATACTAACGCCACACACTCTCACACACACACACACATGCCATAGGCCGTACACCACATACACTGCTGCTCCAGATCAGTCTATTATCTACTTTACCCCTACTATATGTACAGTGGGGAAAAAAAGTATTTAGTCAGCCACCAATTGTGCAAGTTCTCCCACTTAAAAAGATGAGAGAGGCCTGTAATTTTCATCATAGGTACACGTCAACTATGACAGACAAATTGAGGAGAAAAAAATCCAGAAAATCACATTGTAGGATTTTTAATGAATTTATTTGCAAATTATGGTGGAAAATAAGTATTTGGTCACCTACAAACAAGCAAGATTTCTGGCTCTCACAGACCTGTAACTTCTTCTTTAAGAGGCTCCTCTGTCCTCCACTCGTTACCTGTATTAATGGCACCTGTTTGAACTTGTTATCAGTATAAAAGACACCTGTCCACAACCTCAAACAGTCACACTCCAAACTCCACTATGGCCAAGACCAAATAGCTGTCAAAGGACACCAGAAACAAAATTGTAGACCTGCACCAGGCTGGGAAGACTGAATCTGCAATAGGTAAGCAGCTTGGTTTGAAGAAATCAACTGTGGGAGCAATTATTAGGAAATGGAAGACATACAAGACCACTGATAATCTCCCTCGATCTGGGGCTCCACGCAAGATCTCACCCCGTGGGGTCAAAATGATCACAAGAACGGTGAGCAAAAATCCCAGAACCACACGGGGGGACCTAGTGAATGACCTGCAGAGAGCTGGGACCAAAGTAACAAAGCCTACCATCAGTAACACACTACGTCGCCAGGGACTCAAATCCTGCAGTGCCAGACGTGTCCCCCTGCTTAAGCCAGTACATGTCCAGGCCCGTCTGAAGTTTGCTAGAGTGCATTTGGATGATCCAGAAGAGGATTGGGAGAATGTCATATGGTCAGATGAAACCAAAATATAACTTTTTGGTAAAAACTCAACTCGTCGTGTTTGGAGGACAAAGAATGCTGAGTTGCATCCAAAGAACACCATACCTACTGTGAAGCATGGGGGTGGAAACATCATGCTTTGGGGCTGTTTTTCTGCAAAGGGACCAGGACGACTGATCCGTGTAAAGGAAAGAATGAATGGGGCCATGTATCGTGAGATTTTGAGTGAAAACCTCCTTCCATCAGCAAGGGCATTGAAGATGAAACGTGGCTGGGTCTTTCAGCATGACAATGATCCCAAACACACCGCCCGGGCAACGAAGGAGTGGCTTCGTAAGAAGCATTTCAAGGTCCTGGAGTGGCCTAGCCAGTCTCCAGATCTCAACCCCATAGAAAATCTTTGGAGAGAGTTGAAAGTCCGTGTTGCCCAGCGACAGCCCCAAAACATCACTGCTCTAGAGGAGATCTGCATGGAGGAATGGGCCAAAATACCAGCAACAGTGTGTGAAAACCTTGTGAAGACTTACAGAAAACGTTTGACCTGTGTCATTGCCAACAAAGGGTATATAACAAAGTATTGAGACACTTTTGTGATTGACCAAATACTTATTTTCCACCATAATTTGCAAATAAATTCATAAAAAATCCTACAATGTGATTTTCTTGATTTTTTTTTCTCATTTTGTCTGTCATAGTTGACGTGTACCTATGATGAAAATTACAGGCCTCTCTCATCTTTTTAAGTGGGAGAACTTGCACAATTGGTGGCTGACTAAATACTTGTTTCCCCCACTGTACATAGCTACCTCAATTACCTCGTACGCCTGCACATCGATATTGGTACTCCCTGTATATAGCCATGTTATTTTATACTCGTTATTGATATTCGTTATTTGCTGTGTATTTATTCCTTGTCATTTAAAAACGCTGCATGGTTGGAAAAGTAAGCATTTCACTGTTAGTCTACACCTGTTGTTTTATGAAGCATGCTACAAATCAAATGGAGCTGTTCTGTTCCAAGTATACTGTAGCTGTTCCAAATGTGTTTTAGATGAAAGGCCTTATGCTGTTGTAACTTGTATTGACATTCCCCTGTCTCCTGTCCGTCTGTCTGTCCGTCCGTCTGTCTGTGTTGTGTGTTTTTGTCCGTGTGTCTGTCTGCGTGTATGTCTGTGTGTCTGTCTGCCTGTCTGTCCATTTGTCTGTCTGTGTTGTGTCTGTAGGAATGAGCAGGCAGCCACGCTGTACCAGAACATCAGTATGACAGAGCCCAGGATGGTGCCTCAGTACGAGAGAGTCATCATGAGCTTCACCAGAGAGATCAAGCAGCACAATGCTGAGATGGAGAACCTAGCCCTGGCTGTGAAACGGTACTAACACACGCACGCACGCGATGCGCACACTCACCGACAACTGCAGTTCGCTTAAACACACATACTGTACATACACTGTACACATGCAGACATTCTATCATACACGTCCTCAAATACAAATGGGTCGTTCTACGAAAAGAGTGCCTTTTGCATCCATTTGATGTTTTAAGTAGAAATTGTGCTCCAATATATAATTTTATAAGGCCTGTTATATTAAATGAAGTGCTCTTTAATCTAGACCACATGGAGACCACAATAAATCAAATGTTTATATGAATAAAGGCTTGCTAAAGGGCCATAGTTATCCCTCCGTCAACCCTGTGTCATTCTAGGAAGATTTTAACCCACTTAATCCCTAAACTTCCCCATCATTGTAAAGCCCTAGTTATTTTGTTGCTTTGACAAAGTCATTTCTGAAGATTATTATTTAACTGAGCAGGTCGAGCATAACACGTCAACCCTGTTACCCATAGATAGGCTAGAAATAAATAAATAGAAAAAATGATGCAATAATGCATTCAATTGCCACTTCCTGTTGCACACAACAAGCTTCCATTCCCCCTGTCACAATGGGATTTATGGCTGATTTAAGAAGAAATAATCAACCCTGTCACGGTCAACCTTTTACTTTATTTGGCACTTAATAGGCACTTACTATAATATTTTTTATTTATTTAACCTCTTTCGATGGGAAAACGCTTTTTAATGAAGTTGAGCATGTTAAAATTAGGTGAAATCCAACGTTTCTTTGACCAAATTACACTTCTCAAAAGGTACCGAAATGGTGGAACGACCCAAATACACACACACCAATACCGATATAATATATGAAGTTACAGTACTATGTTGTATTTCTGCTCAGAGCCCATGACCAAGCCGCCATGCAGCTCAGTGAGATGGAGGAGGAGATGGATCAACGCATCCATGCAGCAGAGAACAACACACAGCAACAGGTGACACACACTTGCATGATTGTCACTTCTCACTTTAGAAATGATGTCCATGTTATCATTCGGTCTGGGCAGGTTGTGTTCCTACAGGGTTTAGCCAGTGATAAGAAGGGTGGAGCTCATCTCTTCACTCATGTCAAATAGAGAGGACTTGGGATCAGATTACTCATACAACCTCAAACACTCCTCAGCTGTGTTGAGGTCTGATACGTCAACCTGTTATCATTTCTGGATTTTATATACTGTGTTTATTTATAATAATTTGTTAGAAGTAACTCCAGTGGGATGTTGACGGAAAACGTCCAGTTTCCATACTTCCATGGAAAGCTCCTATTCCTGGAATCTCTCATTCCTCTACTCTGGGAACACTTATCTCCCCCCTGTGTGTGTGTGTGTGTGTGTAGTTATGTACATTATGTAAGTGTGCTACATCAGCTCTGTTTGTTGTGCAGCTGCTGTTTGCTTAGTCTAAGAAAAGCACCCACACACACACACATCAGAAGGAAGGATCTGAAAGTCTATGTCATCGTCCAGTGAGGCAGTTACAGTGTATCCGATCAGTAAAAAGCAATCTACTACTTCAGCACTCATGTTCCTTGATACACCCTGGCCCCCTACACCTGTCACTCAAACTGCCCTAAAATAGCACAGCACAACCTCTTATCAGTGGAACATAGAGGAGTGATATAAAAGAAGTACAACACACGCACACACACACACAGAAACACACGCACACACACACACACACTGTGCCATTTGATTTGGACAGTAGTTGGGATTTTGGCAGTAGGGGAATCTGTATATTGGCAGTGTGTGAACAGTTGATGATGTAAGCCTTTATAATTGTGTCTTATATCCTTGTGGAGGCCATAAGCGATGGGATGATGCTAAACCATGTTCTATTCTGTTATCGGTAGGAGGCCAAGAAGACTGAGGCAGCTCTGAGTGAGCTGAAGAGACACTATGAGACTGAGGTGTGTGAGCTGCAGCACAAGGTCCAGAAGATGCAGCTGGTGAGTTTACCATTCGACTGTTCATCACTTACACTGTTCCATCTAGTACACACTAAAGATATCCTTTATAGTTCAGGTGGTGTGAAATAAATGTTAACTTTTCCATAGAAGTATGAAACTTGGTACACAGTTTGGGGCCAAGTTTCATGCTGTTATGAAAAAGTGAACAATTAACCTAAGATTTGGCACCTGTGTTATACAGTGAGGGAAAAAAGTATTTCATCCCCTGCTGATTTTATACGTTTGCCCACTGACAAAGACATGATCAGTCTATAATTTTAATGGTAGGTTTATTTGAACAGTGAGAGACAGAATAACAACAAAAAAATCCAGAAAAACGCACGTCAAAAATTTTATAAATTGATTTGCATTTTAATGATGGAAATAAGTATTTGACCCCTCTGCAAAACATACTTGGCGGCAAAACCCTTGTTGGCAATCACAGAGGTCAGATGTTTCTTGTAGTTGGCCACCAGGTTTGCACACATCTCAGGAGGGATTTTGTCCCACTCCTCTTTGTAGATCTTCTCCAAGTCATTAAGGTTTCGAGGATGACGTTTGGCAACTCGAACCTTCAGCTCCCTCCACAGATTTTCTATGGGATTAAGGTCTGGAGACTGGCTAGGCCACTCCAGGACCTTAATGTGCCTCTTCTTGAGCCACTCCTTTGTTGCCTTGGCTGTGTTTTTTGGGTCATTGTCATGCCGGAATACCCATCCACAACCCATTTTCAATGCCCTGGCTGAGGGAAGGAGGTTCTCACCCAAGATTTGATGGTACATGGTGCCGTCCATCGTCCCTTTGATGCAGTGAAGTTGTCCTGTCCCCTTAGCAGAAAAACACCCCCAAAGCATAATGTTTCCACCTCCATGTTTGACGGTGGGGATGGTGTTCTTGGGGTCATAGGCAGCATTCCTCCTCCTCCAAACACGGCAAGTTGAGTTGATGCCAAAGAGCTCGATTTTGGTCTCATTTGACCACAACACTTTCACCCAGTTCTCCTCTGAATCATTCAAATGTTCATTGGCAAACTTCAGACGGGCCTGTATATGTGCTTTCTTGAGCTGGGGGACCTTACGTGCGCTGCAGGATTTCAGTCCTTCACGTCGTAGTGTGTTACCAATTGTTTTCTTGGTGACTATGGTCTCAGCTGCCTTGAGATCATTGACAAGATCCTCCCGTGTAGTTCTGGGCTGATTCCTCACCGTTCTCATGATCATTGCAACTCCACGAGGTGAGATCTTGCATGGAGCCCCAGGCCAAGGGAGATTGACAGTTATTTTGTGTTTCTTCCATTTGTGAATAATCTCACCAACCCTGACATCCTTGGAGAGCTATTTGGTCTTGGCCATGGTGGAGAGTTTGGAATCTGATTGATTGATTGCTTCTGTGGACAGGTGTTTTTTATACAGGTAACAAGATGAGATTAGGAGCACTCCCTTTAAGAGTGTGCTCCTAATCTCAGCTCGTTACCTGTATAAAAGACACCTGGGAGCCAGAAATCTTTCTGATTGAGAGGGGGTAAAATACTTATTTCCCTCATTAAAATGCAAATCAATTTATAACATTTTTGACATGCGTTTTTCTGGATTTTGTTGTTGTTATTCTGTCTCTCACTGTTCAAATAAACCTACCATTAAAATTATAGACTGATCATGGGCAAATGTACAAAATCAGCAGGGGATCAAATACTTTTTTCCCTCACTGTAAGTGTCTACTCCCTCAGATTGAAGACCAGTACAAGAACATCAATATGAAAGACGAGTCTTCAACCCTGAAGAGAAAGATCAACGAACTGACTCTGGTGAGATGGGTCTTCTTGCTAGTCCTATATCACTCTGTACACATCCTTTAACTCTGTTCCATTTCCTAATAAAGACAATGGAGCTGAATCATTCTGGCTCTGACCATGCTGTCGCCTGTCGCTAAACCCTACTCCCTCTCTCTTCTCTATCACGCTCCCTTTATCACTCTCTCTTTTGCTCTCTCCCCCTCTCTTTACCTCTCTCTCTCTTCTCTCTCTCTCTCTCTCTCTCTCTCTCTCCTCTCTCTTTCTCTCTCTCTCTCTCTCTCTCTCTCTCTCTCTCTTCTCTCTCTTCTCTCTCTCTCTCTCTCTCCTCAGGAAAACCAGCGTTTGAAGCAGGAGTTGATGCAGTCTCACACTAACATAGCCTTCTTGCAGAGTGAACTGGCCTCTCTAAAGAGTGACCTGACAGACCACAGCATCAACTCTGAGCGGTGACACACACACACACACACACACACACACACACACACACACACACACACACACACACACACACACAGTTACTGTATCATGGGTGTTAGACACCCATTGTGCATGAGGCACAATCGTCTTCATGTATTACATAATCAGTGTTGAACTGTTAATAAATCATACACATATGTCATGCCGTTACATAATCTAGTGATGTCATTAGTAATAATCTAATATCTACTAGATGTAATACTATTTGTGAAATGATCAATCAGATTTTTCTGCAGTGGCACATTGAGAATCCCAAAGTACACTGAGACACACAACACACAGTCACAAAGCCAAAACACACACACACACACACAGACCCTTTGACACCTCATCCCAGCCTGGGCTGTGGTTTCGCCTTGAGCCATCCAGTCACTCAGTCAGTCAGGCAGCAGAGGCCACAGCCCAAGGCCAGTGTGACTGCCTCCCTGTCTGTGTACCTGGCTGCTCCCTCCCGTCCCTGTGGTGGTAACATGTTTGTCAGGCTTGTAACAGGATATCCTAGTGTGACCTCACACTCACATAGTCTCACAACCTGGTTACCTGGCAACCAGTCTCACACTTCGCTTTTGAACCCGTTCCGTTCAAACAAAGTTTGTGTTGTGAATGTGCCGATTCTTTGAGATTGTTGAAGTGACTGCTTTTGTCTGCATTATTAGAATGTACAACCTGTTTTTGGAGAATTCATGTATGTGTTATTGTAGTTTATGTAGTATGTGTTATTATAGTTTGTGTAGTATGTGTTATTGTAGTTTATGTAGTATGTGTTATTGTAGTTTATGTAGTATGTGTTATTGTAGTTTGTGTAGTATGTGTTATTATAGTTTGTGTAGTATGTGTTATTATAGTTTGTGTAGTATGTGTTATTATAGTTTGTGTAGTATCTGTTATTGTAGTTTGTGTAGTATGTGTTATTGTAGTTTATGTAGTATGTGTTATGAGAGTGTATGTAGTATGTGTTATGAGTATGGAGTATGTGTTATGAGTGTTTATGAAAGTGTATGTATTAGTTGTGAATGACTGTGTTTGTATGTGCAGGGATGAGGTGATGATGAGAGAGTTCTCTGATGAGAGGGATAACCTGGAGCAACAGATAGAGATCCTACAGTAAGTCTGGCCAATCACAGTGCTCGCCTGACACACAAACAGGAACACTTCAAGACTCACAACTTAATGTTACCGTGAGTAGCCTGTTAACTGACGAACATGAAGTTGTAAGCCTTGGAAAATCTTGAAGAGTTTCTGTTTTTGAAAACCTCAAGTCATTTTCCTCAGAATACCTGCCAAGGGCTCTTTTATTCACCCCTTCCTGTTCTTATCCTCCCCTCTCACCTCCTCTGTTTCTATTCCTCTCTCTCATCCTCTGCTTCTCTCCCTCCTCTGTTCCCCTCTATAGAACAGCCAACAGGAAGCTCCATGACAGTAATGACAGGCTGCGCAGTTCAATGGAGAACCTCAGCAAGAGCAATAAGGTGAGGTAGACACCCACAAAGCCACGGTAACAACACCAGCACGCTCTCTCTCTCGCTCTCTCCCTGCCTCTTATCTTTGTTCATCTGTCCCCTCTCTTTCAATCTGCCCCCCTATCCAACACCCCTTTTATCCTTCATCTTCCCATCACTCTCTCTCTCTCTCTTTCTCTCTGATCTCTCTGCTTTTAACGTCAGGGTTGAATCTCTAATGGCAGTCCTAAGGGCTTGTCTGTTGGAGGAATCATCTGAACCATGTCTGAGAGGCAAAGACAGACAACAACAACAACAACATATTTTAGTCTTGACCCCTAACTCACTCTCCTCATAACCTCATAACTTCCACTCTTCTTCACACACTCTCATCTAATGATAATTCCTATACTCACACATAGGGTTCAGTACTTTTTTCATTTTTTTTTCACCTTTATTTAACCAGGTAAGCCAGTTGAGAACAATTTCTCATTTACAACTGCAAATATATATACCGTGTGTGTGAATATAGTAAGTTATGGAGGTAAGGCAATTAAATAGGCCATAGTGCAAAATAGTTACAATTTCATATTAACACTGGAATGATACAGTGGGGGAAAAAAGAATTTAGTCAGCCACCAATTGTGCAAGTTCTCCCACTTAAAAAGATGAGAGAGGCCTGTAATTTTCATCATAGGTACACGTCAACTATGACAGACAAATTGAGGAAAAAGATCCAGAAAATCACATTGTAGGATTTTTTATGAATTTATTTGCAAATTATGGTGGAAAATAAGTATTTGGTCACCTACAAACAAGCAAGATTTCTGGCTCTCACAGACCTGTAACTTCTTCTTTAAGAGGCTCCTCTGTCCTCCACTTGTTACCTTTATTAATGGCACCTGTTTGAACTTGTTATCAGTATAAAAGACACCTGTCCACAACCTCAAACAGTCACACTCCAAACTCCACTATGGCCAAGACCAAAGAGCTGTCAAAGGACACCAGAAACAAAATTGTAGACCTGCACCAGGCTGGGAAGACTGAATCTGCAATAGGTAAGCAGCTTGGTTTGAAGAAATCAACTGTGGGAGCAATTATTAGGAAATGGAAGACATACAAGACCACTGATAATCTCCCTCGATCTGGGGCTCCACGCAAGATCTCACCCCGTTGGGGTCAAAATGATCACAAGAACGGTGAGCAAAAATCCCAGAACCACACGGGGGGACCTAGTGAATGACCTGCAGAGAGCTGGCACCAAAGTAACAAAGCCTACCATCAGAAACACACTACGCCGCCAGGGACTCCTGCAGTGCCAGACGTGTCCCCCTGCTTAAGCCAGTACATGTCCAGGCCCGTCTGAAGTTTGCTAGAGTGCATTTGGATGATCCAGAAGAGGATTGGGAGAATGTCATATGGTCAGATGAAACCAAAATAGAACTTTTTGGTAAAAAACTCAACTCGTCGTGTTTGGAGGACAAAGAATGCTGAGTTGCATCCAAAGAACACCATACCTACTGTGAAGCATGAGGGTGGAAACATCATGCTTTGGGGCTGTTTTTCTGCAAAGGGACCAGGACGACTGATCCGTGTAAAGGAAAGAATGAATGGGGCCATGTATCGTGAGATTTTGAGTGAAAACTTCCTTCCATCAGCAAGGGCATTGAAGATGAAACGTGGCTGGGTCTTTCAGCATGACAATGATCCCAAACACACCGCCCGGGCAACGAAGGAGTGGCTTCGTAAGAAGCATTTCAAGGTCCTGGAGTGGCCTAGCCAGTCTCCAGATCTCAACCCCATAGAAAATCTTTGGAGGGAGTTGAAAGTCCGTGTTGCCCAGCGACAGCCCCAAAACATCACTGCTCTAGAGGAGATCTGCATGGAGGAATGGGCCAAAATACCAGCAACAGTGTGTGAAAACCTTGTGAAGACTTACAGAAAACGTTTGACCTGTGTCATTGCCAACAAAGGGTATATAACAAAGTATTGAGAAACTTTTGTTATTGACCAAATACTTATTTTCCACCATAATTTGCAAATAAATTCATTAAAAATCCTACAATGTGATTTTCTGGATTTTTTCCCCTCATTTTGTCTGTCATAGTTGACGTGTACCTATGACGAAAATTACAGGCCTCTCTCATCATTTTAAGTGGGAGAACTTGCACAATTGGTGGCTGACTAAATAATGTTTTGCCCCACTGTAGATGTGCAAAAGATGATGTGCAAATAGAGATACTGGGGTGCAAATTAGCAAAATAAATAACAATATGGGGATGAGGTAGTTGAGTGGGCTAATTTCAGAATGGCTGTGTACAGGTGCAGTGATCGGTAAGCTGCTCTGACAACTGACGCTTAAAGTTAGTGAGGGAGATAAGAGTCTCCAGCTTCAGAGATTTTTGCAGTTCGTTCCAGTCATTGGCAGCAGAGAACTGGAAGGAATGGCGGCCAAAGGAGGTGTTGGCTTTGGGGATGACTAGTGAGATATACCTGCTGGAGCGCAGACTACGGGTGGGTGTTGCTATGGTGACCAGTGAGCTAAGATAAGACAGGGATTTGCCTAGCAGTGATTTATAGATGACCTGGAGCCAGTGGGTTTGGCGACGAATATGTAGTGAGGGCCAGCCAACAAGAGCGTACAGGTCACAATGGTGGGTAGTATATGGGGCTTTGGTGACAAAACGGATGGCACTGTGATAGACTACATCCAATTTGCTGAGTAGAGTGTTGGAGGCTATTTTGTAAATGACATCGCTGAAGTCAAGGATCAGTAGGAAAGTCAGTTTTACGAGGGCATGTTTGGCAGCATGAGTGAAGGAGGCTTTGTTGCGAAATAGGAATCCGATTCTAGATCTAACTTTTGATTGGAGATGCTTAATGTGAGTCTGGAAGGAGAGTTTACGGTCTAACCAGACACCTAGGTATTTGTAGTTTTCCACATACTCTAGGTCAGACCGGCCGAGAGTAGTGATTCTAGTCGGGTGGGCGGGTGCAAGCAGCGTTCGGTTGAAGAGCATGCATTTAGTTTTACTAGTGTTTAAAGCAGTTGGAGGCTACGGAAGGAGTGTTATATGGCGTTGAAGCTCGTTTGGAGGTTTGTTAACACAGTGTCCAATGAAGGGCAAGATGTATACAAAATGGTGTCGTCCGCATAGAGGTGGAGCCGAGCGTCGCCAGCAGCAAGAGCGACATCAATGATATACACAGAGAATAGAGTCGGCCCGAGAATTGAACCCTGTGGCACCCCCATAGAGACGGCCAGAGGTCCAGACAACAGGCCCTCCGATTTGACACATTGAACTCGATCGGAGAAGTAGTTGGTGAACCAGGTGAGGCAGTCATTAGAGAAACCAAGGCTATTTAGTCTGCCAATAAGAATGCGGTGGTTGACAGAGTCGAAAGCCTTGGCCAGGGCGATGAAGACGGCTGCACAGTACTGTCTTTTATCGATCGCGGTTATAATATCGTTTAGGACCTTGAGCGTGGCTGAGGTGCACCCATGACCAGCTCGGAAACTGGATTGAAAGCGGAGAAGGTACGGTGGGATTTGAAATGGTCGGTGATCTGTTTGTTAACTTGACTTTCAAATACTTTCAAAAGGCAGGGCAGGATGGATATAGGTCTGTAACAAGTTTGGAATATAGAATGTCACCCCCTTTGGAAGAGGGGGATGACCGCGGCAGCTTCCAATCTCTGTAATAGGGGTTGCGACAATTTCGGGGGGGGGGGGATATGGCATGTTGCAAGCGGAGGGTGCAGAGCTGGTGGCCAGCGGTAGTGGTAGCCAGGGGAAAGCATGGCCAGCCGTAGCAAATGCCTTGTTGAAATTCTCGATTATTGTAAGATTTATCCAGTGTTTCCTAGCCTCAGTGCAGTGGGAAGTTGGGAGGTGGTGCTCTTATTTTCCATGGACTTTACAGTGTCCCAAAACTTTTTGGAGTTAATGCTACAGGATGCAAATTTCTGTTTGAAAAAGATAGCCTTTGCTTTCCTAACTGATTGTGTATATTGGTTCCTGACTTCCCTGAAAGTTGCATATCGCGGGGCTATTCGATGCTAATGCCAGTACGCCACAGGATGTTTTTGTGCTGGTCAAGGGCAGTCAAGTCTGAGGAGAACCAGGGGCTATATCTGTTCTTAGTTCTGAATTTTTTGAATGGGGCATGCTTATTTAAGATTGAGAGGAATGCACTTTTAAAGAACATCCAGGCATCCTCTACTGACGGGATGAGGTCAATATCCATCCAGGATACCCGGGCCAGGTCAATTAGAAAGGCCTGCTCGCTGAAGTGTTTTAGGGAGCGTTTGACAATGATGAGGGGTGGTCGTTTGAACGCGGACGCATTACGGACGCAGGCAATAAGGCCGTGATCGCTGAGATCCTGGTTGAAGACAGCGGAGGTTTATTTAGAGGGTAAATTAGTCAGGATGATATCTATGAGGGTGCCCATGTTTACAGATTTAGGGTTGTACCTGGTAGGTTCGTTGATAATTTGTGTGAGATTGAGGGCATCTAGTTTAGATTGTAGGTTGGCCGGGGTGTTAAGCATATCCCAGTTTAGGTCACCAAGCAGTACGAACTCTGAGGATAAATGGTGGACAATCAATTCACATATGGGGTCCAGGGCACAGCTCGGGCTGAGGGGGGTCTGTAGCAAGCGGCAACAGTGAGAGACATTTCTGGAAAGGTGGATTTTTAGAAGTAGAAGCTCAAACTGTTTGGACACAGACCTGGATAGTACGATAGAGCTCTGCAGGCTATCTCTACAGTAGATTGCAATCCCACCCCCTTTGACAGTTCTATCGAGACGGAAAATGTTGTAGTTGGGGATGGAAATTTCAGGATTTTTGGTGGCCTTCCTAAGCCAGGATTCAGACACTGCTAGAACATCAGGGTTGGCGGAGTGTGCTAACGCAGTGAATAACTCAAACTTAGGGAGGAGGCTTCGGATGTTAACGTGCAAGAAACCAAGGCTTTTACGGTTACAGAAGTCAACAAATGATAACGCCTGGGGAGTAGGAGTGATACTGGGGGCTACAGGGCCTGGGTTAACCTCTACATCACCAGAGGAACAGAGGAGGAGTAGAATAAGGATACGGCTAAAGGCTTTAAGTACTGGTCTTCTAGTGCGTTGGGTACAGAGAAAAAAAGGAGCAGATTTCTGGGCGTTGTAGAATAGATTCAGGGCATTATGTACAGACAAGGACATGGAAGGATATGAGTACAGTGGAGGTAAACCTAAGCGTTGGGTAACGATGAAAGAGAGCATCACTGGAGGCACCGATTGAGTCGGTCTCCGCGTGTATGGGGGGTGGGACAAAGGAGCTATCTAAGGCAGGTTGAGCTGGGCTGGGGGATCTACAGTGAAATAGTACAATAAGAAATAACCGAAACATCAATAAGGCATATTGACATGGGAGAGAGGCATAAAGCAATCACAGGTGTTATTCGAGAGAGCTAAGACAACAGCTCAGTGCACACACACGTACGCACACATACGTGTATGGACACACACACCCACACACACACAAAAACACACCCCCACCCACACCCACACACAGTGACCCAGACAGTTGTGACAGTGATGTTGTGGTTGTGTTTCAGCGTGGTAGCTGTGCTTCCCCAGCCAGCACCATTAGCAGGAGGAGCAGGAGCATCTGTTACTCATCTCCATACCTGGACAGGTAAGACAGTACTAGCAACAGCCTGCTGGTGTGTTTGTCCAGTACATACACTCTAATACAGGTCCACACTGCACACGTACGTGTGTGTGCTCAAAATCAAGTTGATGTACAATTATTCTCAGGTGGAAGATTAGCACTGGACACGTGCGTGCAGTGTGGACCAGTATTAGAGTGGTCCACATGCGTTTTGCATTGTATGCTCATAGCCATCCATACAGGACACAAAACCGCACAGTTTCTAGCATGGTTGTTGGAGCTAGCTTAGCGGTAGCGAGGAAAGGTTTCTGTTTCGAGTAGACTGTGTGGATGTTGTGACAGACAGGGATACCTCTGTCTGTATACTGTCCCAGGTTCTACCAGGCGGGTGTGGATGAGGACGGCGACCCGCTGGGCCTGTGTGGAGGTGAAGGTGGTGGGAGTTCTCTGGGGTGTCGGAGGCCCAGTCTGGACACCCTAGCCCTGGCTCTGTGTGACCCGGCCATGCAGCGCAAACGCATCTCCGAGGTAGACAGCCTGCCCGAGAGCTGCCTAGACAGCGGCATGTCCACGCTGCGCGGCTCCAACAAGGGATACGACTCTGAGCAGGAGGTCAAAGGGCATGAGGAGGAACAGAGGGCGGCCGGGAACACCGACAGCCTGGCGGGAGACCACTCGGACAACGACGTAAGACACACAAACATACAGTACACTCTACAGTAATACACACACATACACACTACATCACACACAAACGCTACATACAAACACACACACACACACACACACACACAGACTATGCAGTAGTACACACATACACACTATACGCACACACACACATACACACACACATGCTTATTACACACACAGACACGGACACAAACACACCCACACACACACACGCAAACACACACACACAAACATACACACTCTTTACAGTAATGCACAAACACACAAACACACACACAAACACACACACAACGACATTATACACACATCGTCATCCACTTGTACTACGTACACATATTGTTACTGATAACGCTCATTATGTAGTGATGTTAATGCAATAGTGTTAATGTGTCAGGTTGCAGAGTTGCGGGATGAGATGGTGCTTGGATCAGACAGTGATTCTGTCCTGGACTGGAAACCCTTGGAGTCAGTCAGCCGGACCAGCTCTGTAGCGTCCACACGCAAAGCCCTCTCTGCAATCACCAATGAGGTACAGGACAGAGGGCAGTGGTGTGAGGAGAGGACAAGAGAGGAGAGTGTAAATGCTGGATTGTAAATTAAAAGCTCATTTTGGAGCTTTAAAACTATTTAAAAAAGAAACAGACACTTGGCGGAATAACTTGGTTAGCAGGCAGACTTGGTAGAAGACACGTGAGTGTAAATGTTTGACTTAGTTCAGGAGGACGTCATTCCAGTATTATGACATGGCCCGGTACAATACAGTCAAGGTGTGCCTTTAATCTCTATAACGCTTTTGGGGAGAGAGGGTCGAAGGAGTAGGGGTAGGAGAAAGTGGAAAAGGAGAGAGGGGGGGGGAGAGAGAGGGAGGGAGGAAGAGAGAGAGCGAGAAGAGAGAGAGCGAGAGAAGAAGAGGAGAGAGAGAGAGAGAGAAGAGAGAGAGAGAGAGAGAGAGAGAGAGAGAGAGAGAGAGAGAGAGAAGAGAGACGAAGAGAGAGAGAGAGGAGAGAGAGAGAGAGAGAGCGCGAACGAAAGAAACAAGAGGGAGAAAAAAACGGAGAGAAAAAAAAAAAAATCAGAAAAGAGGAGCGAAAGAAAACAGCAGAGACAAAAAAACAACCCCCACAGCACCTTCTCATCTCTCTCTCTCTCTCTCTCTCTCAATGCCTCCCCCGCTCTCTCTCCCACCTCCTATCTCGCTCTCTCTCTCTCTCTCTCTCTTCTCTCCCCCCCACCTCTCTCTCTCTCTGTGTGTATAGGGGAAAGAAAAGGAGTCAGCTGACCTGGGCTATATGACATCAGAGAAGGCCTACAGAGTGGTGTTGGCGGGCGATGCAGCGGTGGGCAAGTCCAGCTTCCTGCTCCGCCTCTGCAAAAACGAGTTCCGAGGAAACACCAGCGCCACCCTAGGTGGGTGTGTCAGCAAACCTGTGTTAGCTCTCACTTGCTTACATTATCATTCTATCCACACATTAGTTTTGACTGTAAATGGTGAACAAGGATTTAGTCTAGCTGGACCGCTCGGGCATTGGTTAATCACGCTTTTACACTATTCTCCTCAACACAGCTTGGCTTGTGAAGCCGAACTGGCCCGGAATTACAAGTCTCCAGGGCTCCATCCCATGGTGGTGGTGTTGAATGCATGCGTAGCTGCCTGGGACAGCTATAGAATATATATTTAGATGGTAATGTGACTGTCTTTTGGAGTAGTGTGTTTGAACATCCTCTTGTGTTTATCCTCAGGGGTGGACTTTCAGATGAAGACTCTAGTAGTGGATGGAGAGCCTACCCTACTACAGCTATGGGACACAGCAGGCCAGGAGAGGTGTGTGTGTGTGTTTGCACGTGTTAGTGAACAGTCTGTTTCAGCCTATGTAGTGGTGCTGTGTTAACCTCTAGCCCTGTGTGTGTGTGTCGTAGGTTCCGCAGCATTGCCAAGTCCTACTTCAGACGAGCCGACGGGGTCCTCCTGCTGTATGATGTCACCTGTGAAAAGAGCTTTCTCAACGTGCGAGAATGGGTGGACATGATTGAGGTAGTAATAATTGATTGGATTTATATGATACATTTTTACATCCAATTGATTCGATTTACATGACACTTTTCCAGATGCTCAAGGCACTTCACATAGTAAGGTTAAAACTCACCTTATCCACCACCAATGAGTAGCACACATTTGGGTGATGCCACGGCAGCCATTTTGTAGCATACACAATAACTATCCTCCATAACATTAGATAACACAAATATATAGTGACAAAAGCACATATCACAGCATACTACAGGTCATGGAGGGATCTAAACATTTTGGGGGGAGAATGACTGTGAGAAGGTTCTGGTGACTTTTTAAAAGGACATCCTACTCCAAAATGAATTAATATAAAATTATGCTAACATTTAAAATATAATTTCCCCTTCCAAAAATGAACCCAATATAACGTATTAGTCCATATTATCAGGCAGGTGTGCTATTTGTCAGTAATTATTATCACCTGATGCAGCATAGTGGCTATAAATAATTAGACTGAGGGTTGTCGATTTACCCCATTGGGCTAATCATTAGCCAGAACACAAACTCTAAAGTCTAAACATTTGGCTGTCTTGTTGCTAGTTATAGCAACATCCCACTGGGCAAAAACTGGTTGAAGCAACGTTGTGTCTATGTCATTTCAATAAAAAAAATCAGATTTGATGACGTTGAATCAACGTGAAAAACTCATTGGATTTGCAAAAAGTCATCAACGTAAGGGAATTTTTTCCACCCAACTTTTTACCTAAATCCAAAGACAGGGAGACATTTTTGTTTGATTTCACATTGAATTCACGTTAGTTGACAACTCAACCAAATGTAAATCAAAACTACGCGTGCCTAGTGGGATATTGATGACTTGAATGTCCCCCTCAAAAAAATTCCACTGGCACAACCAAGGATCATGTACCTTGAATATAGTGTAGCCAGTTACACCTGTTACACTTAGCCCCGGTCTGCCCTATGCATTCAACACCATTGGTGCCCGCACACGCATTAAACCATGCTATTTTCTCGCTCAGAATGTGACAGGCTGAACAATTTGAATAGGTAAACTACTATGGGGTTGACTGATTTTGCCGTTGCTTATCCTACTTGTGTTGTTGGCTGTGTAAAATTAAATGTGGACAACCATTTTTATACGTGTCATTGCTGTGTTGCATCGTTGCAGTGTTGAGTTGTGTGATAACAGTGTGTGCATCCCAAATGGCACCCTATAGTGCACTACTTTTGAACAAAGCGCTATGGGCCCTGGTCAAAAGTAGTGCACTATAATGGAAATAGGGTGCCATTTGGGACACAACCAGTGTTGAGTTTTGGATAGCAGTGTTGTTGTTGTTGTGTTTGTTGTCGGTGTTGGTGTTTTTGTTGGCCTGTGTTTTAACCTGCTGTCCATCTGTGTTCAGGACGTGTCCCAGGACGACATTCCCATCATGCTAGTTGGGAATAAGTGTGACCTGAGAGAGCAGGCTCTACAGGACAGGGTCACCTGTGTCCCCACCAGCTTCGGAGAGAAGCTGGCCATGGTGAGACCATTCAACCCCAACGTCTTACTTAACACTTGACATTAGTTACATTTCTATTTTGGTCATTTAGCAGATGATCTTATCCAGAGGGATTTACAGTCACTTCTAGTTGTACCCAAGAATATAGCCTAGAACTAGGACCCAGAATTTTGCCTGGTCAGGTCAATGTATGGAACATCGGCCTGATTGAGAATTGCGTTGTTTGTTTCCTATCAGACGTATAATGCCCTCTTCTGTGAGACTAGTGCTAAAGATGGATCTAATGTCATAGAAGCCGTGCTGCATCTGGCCAGGTAAGAGATACCAGATCCTAGACATCTCTGTTTTCTCTCTCTGCTAAGTGATCTTTACCTGTAAATGTGTTGCTCTCCTTAGAGTACTCTCTGATCTGACTGAGTTGGATACTTTTTTTATATTTTCGCTAAGTGTTCTTACAAGACCAAAATGTAGAGCAAAATGTAAAGTTTTGCTGCCCTCTAGTGTGCAAGAGTGTTCTGTACTCTAATGCCCATTATAAACTGGGTGGTTCGAGCTCTGAATGCTGATCGGCTGAAACCCGTGGTATATCAGACCGTATACCACGTGTATGACAAAACATTTATTTTTACTCTTCTAATTACGTTGGTAACCAGTTTATAATAGCAATAAGCACCTCGGGGGTTTGTGGGTTCCACGTTGCGTTGTGCCTAAGTACAGCCCTTAGCCGTGGTATTTTGGCCATTTGCCACACCCCCTCAGGCCTTATTGCTTAATTATACTAATGCCAATACAGTGGAGGTATGCCTTTAACTCTCTTTCTCTCTTCTTCTTTTTTGTTCTCCTCCTCCTCCCCCCATCAGAGAGGTGATCAAGCAGGTTAATGGGGATGAGAACCAGGAGTCTGTGACTAACCTCTACAGAAGTCCCAACAAGAAGATGCCGACTGTCACCTGCTGCACAGGATAAGAAACCACACAGGAACACTAGTAGAGTAACCAAAACTCAGCACCAGCGCAACCACAGCAACAGAACACCACAATACTAGAACACTGTCTCCAACAGCAGAACAAGAGAACAATGAGACTTCAGAAGAACGGGCGGCAGGTAGCCTAGTGGTTAAGAGCGTTGTGCCAGTAACCGAAAGGTCGCTGGTTCTAATCCCCGAGCCGACTAGTTGAAAAATCTGTCGATGTGCCCTTGAGCAAGGCACTTAACCCTAATTGCTCCTGTAAGTCGCTCTGGATAAGAGTGTGTGCTAAATGACAAAAAATAAAAAAAGAACAGATCACAGGAGAATTCAGTCAGAACACTTGAGTACCATAGCACTAGAACTGCTGATTTTCTCATATGAGATCAACTGTGCTTGTTTTATGCTGTGCGTGCGTGATTATGCAATTATGTGTTTGAATGAGTGCATGTGTGCTTGTGTTATGCATGTGTATTTGGCTTTAGTATTGAGTCCTTTGACATCATTCACATCATGGTTAGTGATTGTGTCTTTTGTATTACAGATAGCTATTGTATATATCAATGTACAGGTAGTGACTGCCAAGTACCATGTACTGGCAAATTATATTCTCAACAAGTCACTAGAAAGCTTGGGATAGCAGCAATTTACATTTTCAAGTTAACTATGACATCATATGTGATGAGGAGAGACAAATGCATGTGATAGGTGGTGAACAGTAGGGTAGGGAAATGTTATTTATACAATGGAAGACTCCTTTTATAAGCAAGCTTTCTATATGCAAGCTTTCTATTGCTAAGGGGTAAGGCGGAGGGAGGAGCTACAGTTTAGTAGACATAAAAATAGAATTGAATTCTAGTTCTGTGATAGTAGACACAGTAGTGTCAGAAACATCCTCCATGTACAACATTTGTGATAAAGAGAAACAACTGCATGTCAAGGAAGGAGTGTCATGATTATGTCAGTTGAGCATACTGTATGTCTGAATTCTGATTGTAGGAGCCAAGAGCAACATCTGGAGAGAGTGATGTGATTGGATGGTATGTGCATGTAAACAGGTTATATTTCTGTGTGTACATTGTGAAATATTGGTATCATTAATATATTATATAATGTTACAGTTGCCATTTGGACTTCTCCTGGGTCACTGTTGATGTCACTGTAAGCCCACACCTGTCTATCTGTCTGGCTGTCTGAGCCCTCTGTGTGGGCATACTCAAAGCGCTTTACTATTAAAATGTAGCATGAACAAAACCCAACGTGATATGACTTCCCTTTTCCAGGCAGCGACTGAACATAATATTTCATGCTGAATATATATATTTTATGTTGAGGACATACATGGAATATAAAATAAGTTATAAGATAACTTATCTGGAGAGTAATCTGCTGATAACAAGGCAAAAAACAGCCATGTACCCTACCGTCTCGCTCAGTCACACACACGCATACACACACACACACACACACATACACACACACCCCAAATGTCCACAGAAAGTCACTGAGGGGGGAAAAGAAATTCAACAATCAGATAACTTCCTACATTTGATTTGTTGGGACACCCGTGTCACCCATATTCCCTGAGCATGTTTACGAGGAGCTGCAGCATATGCCAGCGTTTATTCAGGCCGTTAATGTCTGGAAGACTGGCACAGAGCCCAGCCCCACCTCCCATCAGTTTACATTGTCATGAGCTTGATGAGGCGAGCCTAGTCATTTGTCAAACAACATGTAGGGTGGGGCAGGCATTGGATAATTAAATAATCGCAAATAATGGATTCATTAATTTTATGTGGGCGGAACAGAAGCGTGTCCTAAGCAGAACTCAACAAGATATTTTTTATATCACCGTTGGATGACCCTGGCACTCGTTTACATGTCCAAGGGTTTATGAGACGCTGGTAATAACTTTATAACAACCTCTGTCTTGGATGGTGTTGTTCTCCCTGTGACGGAGTGCTTAGAGTGGGTTGAAGGAGGGTGATGATGGCCTTCACGATTCTGGAAAGGTCTCTCACACTGAAGAGCTGTTATTATCAACCCCCCCTTCAGCAGGAGAGGAAAGTAATGGAAGGGCTTCTGAAGAGATTGTCCTTGAATCTAATACACATAACACTCAAACATACTGTATAGAACAAGCACACACAAAATCCATACTCATATGTACACACACATACACCGTTCACAGTCTGACAGGTAGTATTTAGGCTACTCACACATCTTTAATGAACATTGTCTAGCACTGCAACATCAACATAGGATCAAAACCCCTTAAACTCATAAGATTACCATAAACACATCAGCAATCCAACTAAATCAGAGTTCCGTCTTTGGGGCTGGGTTGCTAGGGATCATGAGGTCGCCATCTGGAGAGGTCAGAGGTCGTTGGAGAGGCCATCGGACTGTGTGGAACTCCACACCTCCAACTATACTCCCCCAAGGCTGCCCTGCCTGGGGTATCAATCACATTATGACAATGTCATCGTCATAGAGCATTTAACAATGTCACATCTGGGGGCATACTGTTTTTAGACGTTTTTTAAACTCTATTATTAACTGGAGATACACAGACGTAGACCTAGGCCTAGTTTGAGTTCATGTATCTCACATTAGGACCTAGGTGAATACTAGTGAAAACTCTTTGTCCATCTGAAATAACTCTTTGATTTCAAATGTCACATTATGTTATATTTCATGTCATGTCTGGAGGGATAAGAATGTCCAGCTGTACAGGTCACGGGATTCATATGAGTAATGCCCCAGAGGAAGGCTCTGTGCTGGTACCAATGATGTTTAATAATACTATAACTGATGAATTTACCAATGCTCAACACCCGTTGAAAATGTCCGGTGTCAGTAAACGTTGGCAAAAAAACACAATTATAACATGAAAACCACCTAACCAGCTCTGCTAGGGCGAGTAAAATGCTCAGAGTGAGGTGTTCTCTCATTTGTGTCTGGAAGTAGCTAGCAAGCTAGCCAACGTTAGCCAGTTAGCTTGGGTGCTCCGAGAGTGAAACACTCTGAATTTACTAACAACAATCTGACAATGCTCTGAGTGCACTCTGGCACTCCAGATTGAATTTATGAACACACCCACACAATGGTGTTCTCCGTTTTGCTCTAAAACCCCCAGAAGTGTCACAGGACTTGTCTGAAGGTAACTGATACCGGTTTAAAAAAATGAATGGAAGTATGAAGGTACTGTAGTTTTGTGCCTACCCTAAAAAAGGGGTTAAATATGTGTAAAAAAAAAAAGAAGAAATATTTCCTGAGCTTTCTATCTCCTAGATATAGGACAGACACTTCAAAGCCTTGTTTCTTATGTATTATTCAAGAAATTTCTCTGGGCTATAATAGTAAAGGCCAAATTCAATATTTTATCAAATATTTTTTCTTATACCAAAAGGGGTTCTAAAATTCTTTGTATGACCATAGTGTGACCCACAGGGGCTAGCTAGTTTTCATCACTCTAAACTCTGACGAACAGGTGTAACTTTTGATTGGTAGAAGATAATTCTGTTCTGATTCCAGATTTGAATAGCGGAGAAGCAGACCAAGATGTCATACCCTCTAACTTGTTGGGAAAGTGGTCAAAGTAGCTGATTTGTGTCAAAAGTTGGATTGTTGTATTCATAGTGAATGGAATGTTGGAAGTCATGTCACAATGGAAGCTTTAGAATGTTGAAGAAATCCCATGGAAGTGGATGAAGTTAAATAAGTTAAATAAAACAAGCTGTATAGGGCCACCATTGAAAGGCACGAGGAGTTGCTTCGTGGTCTCATGGAAGGGTTCCAGACCTTGGCCGAACGCCATGACCGAGCGTTTAAAGCAAAGCAGTTACATATAGTCAAAGTTAAATAATGGGTCTGATTACTTTGATAGACTACACTGAGTGAGCAAAACATTAAGGACACCTTCCTAATATTGAGTTGCAGACATACACAATACATGTCTCAGTTGTCTCAAGGCTTAAAAATCATTCTTTAACCTGTCTCCTCCCTTCATCTACACTGATTGAATTGGATTTAACAAGTGACATCAATAAGGGATCACAGCTTTCACCTGGATTCACCTGGTCAGTCTATGTCATGGAAATAGCAGGTGTCCTTAATTTTTTGTACACTCAGTGTACAGTTTATCAACCTTAATACTTTGGATTGTGGGGCAGTTGGATCACAAAAATGTCTTAAATACATTTGTTGTATGTGACAAAGAAAAAAGACAGACAAAGGGATATTCTGTCATAAGATGGGAATAAAAGGCAGGATCATGTGGACGAAGCAACTCAATTATTCATACTGTGGGTTTCACAATTTACTTTCAGTGTAAATTAAGTTTGATTTTAGTTGAATAATGATTAGAACGTTTTAGGCTAGGGTCAGGGCAGGCAGAATAGTCAAAATTAGAAAACAGGAACTCGAGAAAGACAGGAGCAAGGGGGAAAAACGCTGGTCGGCTTGACGAAACAAAACGAACTGGCAACAGACAAACAGAGATCACAGGTATAAATACACTTGGGATAATGGGGAAGATGGGAGACACCTGGAGGGGGGTGGAGACAATCACAAAGACAGGTGAAACACATCAGGGTGTGACAAGAATAGGTTTGTATTTAGACCTACTGATACCTAGCTGTAGTTCTATCTAATAAATAAACTCTTTAGGCTAACAGTGATCACTGAATAGTACATTTCCTGAAGAAAATGTGGTGTGCTTGCTAGCTTGTTTTAAAGTATGTATAGTTTGAAATAGGTTATAGTAGTGGTAGTGTCTGCAGTAGTAATGGTGGTGACTGGTTATAATTGAAAAAGTAGGTAGATGAAAAGATTGATTGATTGATTGATTGGTTGAGACGATATGATAGCCTGGACATGTGAAAGTTGGTTTGGTGTCTCTAGCTTGAACAGTTCAAGAGTTACAAATATTGTTGGTGGGTATTATATGCTAATTTATGCACATTTAAGTCGTTATAATTTATAGTGCATACCAGAG